GAATATTTGATTAAATATATAATTTTATAAAAGAAATCTTTATATTTCGGATTTCTATAATATGAGTTAATTAAAAAATTTAAGAATTCTTAAAGTTTGATGAGAAAAAATAATTATTAAGAATTAGAGATCCTAAAAATAATAGAATATCTTAAAATCTATTAATAGGAGATATCACTATATTTATTATATGATCTAGAATATATCGGAAAAAATATGATGCATTAATTATATATTTATATTATATTGGAAAAATTCTTTTCCGAGAGAGAAGATAAGATTATATCTGATCTATTAGATAAATATGAATCGTATTCGATAGGTCTTCTTTATAGGATCTGAGTATTTCTTATATCAATGAGAAATAAAAGGAATAAAGAAATTAAATTATCGGAGATCGGTCTGAGCTTCATGCTCTTCAAGAAATATGATTTTAATTTATCTAGGAGATCTTGATCCTATCAAGGATGATATGAAATTCGAGGTGGCGACGAATATCATGAAATTTAAAAAATGAAGAGAAATCAAGAATATAAGATCGCAAGAAAGAAGATATTCTGATAGGAAAAATAGAAATAAAGAGAATAATATCGATTGGGATTTATAAGAGGCGCTGGAAAATGATCGATAATTTTCAGGATTAGAAAGGTGCCGAGGGCTGCTATAAATTTTCGAGACCTGCGCCGAAATTCGCCGTAAGATAACAGAGAAGTCCAAATCGAGGGGATACAGCAATTTAGAATCCTTTCAATGGCTTCTAAAAAGAAATGAGCAGGCTCAATAACGGGTGCCCTGGACCAGCTCAAGGCCAGAACTAAGTGCCATCATTATGAGGATTCTGCATCCAGGAGTGCCCGTTAATTGCTGGCTGGAGATTGAGATGATAAGGCAGTAGTATTATTAATTAAGGGATTATCATTAATAAATAATCACTAAATGAATAATATCAAATTATCGAGATTAAATTAAATCAATATATATAGCCTCAAGGATCCTAGCAAGACCAAACTACTCTATAAACCTTATAAATAATTAATCCTCGTAGCAATATTGAGCAAAATCGCGAAGTTATGATGTGCAATCGTAACGGCCAGATCAAGTCAGGGTAAATCGAGAGATATAAAATAGTCGTAGGTCTATCGTGTGCAAGTATCTTTATGAGTCCTCATTGATGAAATTGATTCGGTGTATGTGTAGAATTGTCCGTGGGCGAAAGAATGAGGTATCTGCGCGTGAATGAATATTTCCAGGAAGAGGAGAGATAGAAGGGAAGAAGAAGAGAAGATATTATATTATTAATCAATATTATTTAGCCGTCGCGAGAGAATTTCTTCTATATATAATCAAGTAGTTAATATTCTCGCAAGTAGTTGAAATTACCGCCTCTCCTCCCCCTTCCCAATAATATAATCTAATAAGAGAAAGAAGGGAAGTATATATAGAGAGGAGTCGTAGTGAGGACGGAGAAGATAAAGCCAGAGGCCGATTATATTTAATCCTCGTGCTTCCTTCATACGAAGATGAATTCTATTCGAATTAATTTTAATACTTTCGAATAAATTATATATTTATCAGAATAAAATAATAAGAATATTCTAAATTTGTCATTATTGTAATTACCACCAATATTATTATTACACCACTAATACTATTAACACTCATTATTACGCCACTAATACTATTAATACTCACTCATATTTTAATAATAATTATTAAAATAATCACTGTAGACTATAGATAATAAATCAATAATGAATACTATTTAAATCATAAATGAGAAATCGAATAATTAATATTTCATATTTAGATATTAATAAGAAATATATATTCAAATCCTATTATATTGAAAGCAATATAAATCAAATAAATATCAAAATTATTTCTTTATTTAATTTCTACATTTTTAGGTTAGAAGTATTAATTTATGAATACTGAAATTCAATTGAAAAATATCTATTCAGTGTCTCTAATATATAATCATATGATTTAGAGTGAGCACTCGGTCTGATTAATAGATCAAATTCCTATGATCTACAGAAATCAATCATGAGTCTGTCTCGATGATCATACCGGTATCCGATTTTCTTCAATATTGGGTCGTCCCGGTTCGCGATAGTAAATCCTCCTCGTTTGTGCCGGATGGATCTACTTTGGTGCGTCCGAGCACAAACTCTCAACAGATGGGTGATGGAATACCGATCACCTAGTCGTTAATATAGCTGGCGGCTAGCGCGAAACCAAGTCCTCGCTGCCTCGTATATGGGACCCTTGACCGCCGTTCCTCTTGCCTAACACATTGCAAGAGAAGCTGAAGGTAGGGCTGCGGATGCTTTCTGGCTCAGTGAGGGTGTCGTCCAGACAGTGCGGACGACGACGGGAGCTACGAGTCGGGATAAGACTCGAAGGTGGACGAGGGCTGCATCCAAACTTTCACAGACATGAAGGCGGCCGTTGGCCTCACCGGGCCATTTTCTCCGTCTCCCTAGCAAAACGGAATTGTGCACCGCACTGGCACCCGAACGTCATGCACCAATACAGCAGCCGGTTGCGCCCTAAACTTTTCACACACACTCTCTGTCTGCTACTGCAGTATCTGGTTGGCCACTTCGTGCCGATTGTTGTGAAACCTTCATCAAACTCACAGGTCTTCCTCAGCTGTGCCTCCGCTTGGTGATGCATCCTTGGAATGCTTTGGAGGAGGTTAGGGTTTCTCGGATCTAGGAGTCTAATATAGGGGCCTGAATAATTAGGATAGGGTTCTGGGGGCCCACGATACCAAAGAGAAATAATAATAAGGAAACCCCAAGTATAGGAAGTTATTAAGGCCCCTACATTAGGAAACTTCGAGTTCCAGGAAGGGTCGGAATCTGGCCAGGGACCAGGGTTTAGAGCCTTTGAAGTGTTTGGTTCCGGGGTTTGGGGCTTCACGGCTCTTAGCGTTTAAGGTTCGAAGGGTAACGATGAACATTTCGTTGTTGCGTTAGCGCGTGCCTCTTTGCTTTCGGGCTGCAGGTCGACACCTGACAAGTTGGGAAACTGCGAGCCTTCAAGACAGGGGTGCCATGAATAGTCATGTGGCTGTAACGAGAAGTTCGTGCAAACCGGGTGGTCTCTTTAGGATTGAAATCATCAGGGTCAGATCCCCCAAATGCGAACAGCCTTAAGCGTCGTGGGCTTTGACGCCATGTTCAGAGACATGCGCTCACCGACACCAACAGGTTCAAGCTGGCCCTCCTGTGGCTTTTTCTTCCCTTGCTCAGCTTCCACGGAACGAAGGCACGAGGACCTAGCACGAAGGGCGTCTCTCGACAGCCGTGGCCTTGGGTGTCTCAGGGATCGACCTGGTGCCCATAAGGACATGAGACCCTAAAGAAACACTTCCAGTCGACGAAGCCGCGAAGTCTTCGATGCCCAAAACAGGGTGTTCAAGGCGGGAAGTACACGTGTCAAAAAGACAGAAAGACTTGAAGTTCAGAGCAGCATGAGCTTCCTAGCTCTTCCTTGCGCCCCGCTACAACACCCTGACGAACCCATTTCCGGTGCACCAGCATACCATGGTGTCATTGTGCTGTGCTCTGCGATACTCTACCATTCTATACTATGCTCTACTGTGCTATACTGCAGCTCGTCGCGGGCCGGGCTGGGCTCTTAGTGCCAGAATACTGTACCACTAAGCCAACAAAATTCAAGGGCGGGCCAAGACCCCACAGTTGCCTCAGCGTCAGAGATGCTCTTGAGATGGGCACAGGGATGCTGGAACGTGAGTGGTGTTCTGTCGCCCATGGGCGCCTTTGCTCTAACAGAACACTGCCCAGGAAGGTCATTGTCACCTCCTCTTGGAATTTGAAGGAGCCTAACTTCATGGATGCGAACTCATTTGCCTGAATCAATCAAAATTTCTGAGGTAATTCGTGAACTCCTAAAATCCTAAAACAGTCTACTCTGAAGAAAAGATCTTGCATACTTGCCTAGCCAAGGCCCGAAGCCCCTCTGTCAGCTCTAGGACACTCGACCCGTCAACCCAAAACCGCAGACCCTGTAATCCTCAACCCCCAACACTCTTGAACCCTGAAACCCTGATCCCTAAAGCGTAAAAATCTAAACCGTAAGGCCCAATGAACCTTCTTGTTGTTTATGCCGAGGCCCCGCCCCCTGAGTTCTCCCTAACTTGACTCAAAGCATGTACGCTATTACGGCTATCTGGAAGACTATATTGCATAGTCTACGATATTGCCGTACGGTAGCTATACAGAATACTATGGTGCATTCGTGTGCAGTTGAGGGTTAAGGGTGTGAAGCTATACAGCATGCCAATTTCGTTTGATACTGTGCCACTTTTCCGTACAGCACACTACACTATACACTTCAGTACACGGTGTGCCAAACGGTAGTGTGGATGATACGTACAGTGCGGTAGACTATCACACAATCCGCTGATTAGATCAAAACTCCTGCGCCCTAAGGTTTGCATCGAACAGCACTCACATCATGAAGGCACGTCGACCTATAGCAACAAAAAGACTTGAGGTTGTGGGAATTGCCAGCGCGCTTCGCGCAAAGGCACTTAACCATTCCGCAACTGTGCGGATGTCTTGTCACTGGGCGCCAAGCATCGCAATCCATGCAAACCGAAGCGAGTATAGCACACCACTGTATACTCCGTGTAGTATAGAACTGACACTGTAGACTATTATTGTCGTCTGCCACGTCTCCTATGGTACTATGCAGTGCACTATGCTCATACTGTGACCCGTGCCATCGCACCGTCTAGCAAAGCTGTGTAACAGCTACCCAATAATCTGCAGTTAGAGCCTACTGTAGTATGCTAGACTACGGAATAGCGTACATTGCTGCAGAACAATGCTTAGGCCCCCAACATGCACCAGGTGAGAGGCACAGAATCCCGGGTCACCGCATGCCGATGCCGCTCCATAGCGCGCATGAGCCTCCCGGCTCCCGTCTCAGAGTCTACGGTGGCAGGGTAGGATAGCGTCTTACGGTTTTGGGGCCCAACACACTATAGTTGTAATAAGGAAGCCCCCACAATGGTATTGGTAATTATTTATAGGCCCCTACACTACTGTAGTGTACTACAGGAGATCGTCCGTGCTGTGGGATGAACCCCTAAATTCCAAACCTGTTCGTAAAGACATCAAACTACGACATGTCTCGAATCTCCCTACATTCAAAGCCCAAGGCCTACACGCTGAAAGCCTTCACTTAAATCAATTCTCCAACAACTCCCTTCAACAAAACACCTGAACCCTAGACCAGCACTACGGCTGATGATATAAATCCTGCATTACCCATAAGGACCCATAATAAGGACTATACCATAATTCCCATAGTTTAGGGTCCTTAAGGTAATGCAGGATTTATATCATCAACAGTATGTCTTCAGATGTCTGAAACTCTCAACGAGGAACAAGGCCAGGATTCCCCGGAGCTCCGCGGCAGTGCGCAGTCCTCCGTCGACCTCGCACAGTTTGTACTGTCTTACATTGTCGAAGGGTATCTAATATACCATAAGTCCTTGAAAGTATGACATGGTATGCCGTAGCATGCAACTGAGCAAATACGGCTGTATGCTACTATATACGATGGTATGCTCAAGTAAGCTATGGACCCTAAGTCCCAAACGTCCACCACGTCCCAACAACATCCTTTTTTTGTTGCGTTAGAGCTTTTAGGGCAGTTATAGGATGTAATTGTTGATACCCTGGGTTATGTAAACTTACCAGCATCAACACAACAATAACGGCAAATAAATCATTAAATCAAGAAATCAGGAAATAAATAAATACATAAATTCAGAGTGTGGTGGGGCTACAGCAATTGCGCTTATCCCTACCTTTGCGAACAAGAAGTAACCCGAACACGGTGAGGCCGGATACTCAGAAGCATACTTGCAGCCAAACGAACCATTTCTGGGCCCCACACTGTCCACAGCCCGTCCAGCCCAGTCAAGGCATCGAGCACCGGAATGAGCACAGGGTGCATCGCCTCTCTGGGAGTTTAGTTTGGACTTCAGGGCTTTAATAGTCCGGGATGCATTTTTTGGAAGTGCAATATTTCTGTAACGTGAAGTTGTAACCGCCTTGATTTGTAAGGGTCCACAAATAGGAAGATACCAACACAAGAAGGCAGAAGGCATAGGATCCAAACAGTGACGCCCGGCATAGCTGCCTTGCATTGCTGCAGCAGGTCCTCCGCCGACTGGAACTGCAGATGAACGTGCACTCGCGAGAAGTGGAGCTCCTTGCAGGACGCAGCTTCTTACAGGAGGAAGGGATTTCGGGGATGGACATCTTCTTGCCTTTTGCTCCAAGCTTCAGGCGCTCCGGGCTTGCAGAGTCCACCCTCAGCCCTTCTTGGGGCCCTAAACCCTAAACCCTAAACCCCGAAACCCCGAAACCCTAAACCCCGAAACCCCGAAACCCTAAACCCCGAAACCCTAAACCCTAAACCCCGAAACCCTAAACTTTAGCCCTAAACCCTAAACCCCATCTTTGGCCCTTGCTAAAACCCGTCCCTGCTGGCCGAAGCTCCTCGTCAGACAGGCGGTGCTCATCCTGCTCCAAATATATCAATATCATGCCAATATCCTGCCCATGTTATGCCAATATCATGCCAATATTGTACCAATATTATGCCAATAATATACCCATATGATGCCAATATTAAGGGTTGTTGGTGCATGGTATCTTAAATTTCATGCTACACATCTGCTCCATGAAAACGAACTGAGATGTCTGCCTTCCGGGCTCTCACAGGAGTGCCGGAGATAGCCTTCTAGCAGATCCTACAGTCTACAGTACAAAACTCTTGCATGCCGCCAGTTTTTGGGAAGCCGGATGTGAGTATTGCCCACATACAGCTTCCAGTTCTGGTCACCCTTGAACCGTCCCCCGGAACTGCACTCGTAAGGGTGCCCGGCTTGTGTTTTTCTTGGCAGCGCCACATGCATGTGCCCTCGCTTGCTTTTCCACCTTTGGGCCGTGAGAGTCCCTGCGCATGTCATGGACGGTATGAGTCTACCTCTATCTTGAACCCACCCGTACGAACCCTGAACTAAGAAAAAGAGATGCGAAGATCAGTGGCACAACCCTAAACCCTACACCCTAAACCCTAGACCCTAAACCCTAACCCTAGACCCTAAACCGATCATGAGCCGTGGAATATAAAATGAGACTTCATTTCTTTCTGGGGCCAAAAGTCGGCCTGAAGCTCACAAATGAACACCACCTAAATGTAGGGGCCTTAAGGATAGAATAGGGTTTTGGCGGCATATTCTGCTGCGATCATAATATGAGAAACCTCAAAATAGTGTTGGTAATTGTTTAGGCTCCTATCGCACGAGCTTCAAAAATTAGCCTCCATCCGCACCTGCTTGAACCGCCATGCGTAGGCCCCTAAAAATAGAAGTTCACCGCCGCGCCAAGGCCTCGACCATCACATCTTCCCCCGTCGCGGTGCGCCAGCGGATCTCGCGCACCGACTCCGGGTCAATGACGGCTTCTTCGTAGGCGTCCTCTGCAAAGCGCAAACTCCACAGCTGTTTTGGGTTTAGAGTTTGGGGTGTAGGGTTTAGGGTTTAGGGTTTGGGGTTTAGGGTTTGGGGTTTAGGGCTTTAGGGCAAAACTGTGGCTCTGCTGGTTTTAGGGTAAAACTGTGGCTCTGCTGCAATGGTGCGCTTGGGTCGTAGGGTTTGCTACTCAACAGCTGCCACCCATACCAAAAGCTTGGACGTCGAATTCCTGCGAGGCTCATTGCATCCAACCTTTATTGCGCTGCTTGACCCCCGGAAATGTCACAATTGCCCTAAACCCTAAACCCCAAACCCTACTGAAACATCTAGATCAAAAAGTTCCTTGAGAAAACCCCAGGCCGCAACCGGACCACAAGCTCACGATCATCTCTTGCTGCGGGCATGGGTTTTTTTTGGTTCCTTGGAGCAGTATATTTTCAGTGGAGCATACTTTGCTATTGTCATACTTTGATATTACAACTAGCACTATATAGTTGAGTGGATTAGAGTAGGGTAGAGCAAAGTTTAGTATAGTGAAGCACCGGACCGTACAGTACAGCACAGTGTAGTGTAGTGTCGTATAGTCTAGTCTCGCATCGCATGTGCCCCTCACCCCTCCTGCAACTCGGCAGCGAGTTGCTCGCGCAGCTCCGCACCGGACCAAACGTCGGGAAGGCTTCTGATATCCGGATCATCCTCTGCAGATGGGGTAGCACACCCAACTCAGTGAAGGAGCAGACTGAGCCAGAAAGAAGTTTCCTGTGACTTCAGTGGCCAGTGGCGCGCTGGGGCCTGCGATTCCCAGGTTGCCTCAGTTCTTCTTCAAAGCTCCGCTTTTTTCTGGGAAGGGCAACACGACACCACACTAAAACATCTCTGGGGCGCTTTTTGTTGCATGGAAAAACCTCTCTCCCCTCTTTTGGGGATTGGGCGTCTGGCACAAACCATAGGTCGTAGTCGTCCCATGTCTCCATTCCTGGTCCTGTCGCCTCCATGCCGTTGCTGGCTTTGCGATTCAATGTCCAATCTTGCAGGCTCTGGGCTTGCCCATGCTGACCCACGGCCCCCTGTCCCATTCCATACTTCAGCTTTAACCCAAATCGCAATCAGGGGGCACAGGTCAGGAGTGAACCCACGAGACATAGTGAAAACTGCCGCAAATGACGAACACAACACGTGCAATCTGCCACAAAGCCATTGCCAATCTTCAGGGTCAGGACCGCAGAGTTGTGCATCCAGCGATTGGATGGAAGAATCGCAGTCTGTTCGAGGCCTTCTAGGTCCGCCTTTGGGCGTGGATCTCGATTTTTCGTGCCGATGGGGAGGCCATACTGTAGACTCTAGGCACTGTCTCTGCGGCCTTCAAAGCCCAACAAATTGCGAGCCCGACCCTTAGCTCTGAACCCTAGAGCAAACGGATGACGTACACTGAAAGCTAGTAGAGCCATGACTTGGATGCCAAACTTGGATCCTCCCAAACTGACGCGGACTCCTCCAGCTGCCAAATGACGGGAGAGGTTGCACCGGGCCACCAGATGGAGAAAGATGGCTTGCCTCTGGCAGTGGATAAGCACTAAAGCTGCGGACTTTTTGGGCCTGTAAGCTCTGCCTTAAAGTCTTAAGCCAAAGGGACTTCGACGAAACACATGCTGGAAACTAGACTCCGTCCGAAGTCATATGCACTTCAGTAGGAAATGGTCTCAAGCTTTGATCTCGCCCTAAAGCCCCTGAACAGCACGACGGCTACCCTATATAAACCCTAAACCCTAAACCCGGTTAGACCAGCCGCAGCCCCTTTACGGGACAAAGGACTCCCGGCCTCGGCTTCCTGCGGCAGCCATGGTCCGGGGGGGAGGCCCCAAAAAAGAGCCAGTCTCTTGCGATCAAAGGGCTGCGGCGGTCGATGAAGCGTATTGCTGCTTTAATAACTACTATGCTGAGGTCTGGGGGGAGGACGTGGATAACTGACTGCTCTATAGTTTTTCGACCGGTTCCTGCCATCATGCTGAGGAGTGACGGTGTGTTGTGCATCAAGCAATGGACGATAACGACTTCGACTACGGCTGCGAATGCCAAGAAACATCGGCCCAAGAAGCTAAATTAAAGTATTGTGTAGTTTGGAATATTTGATTTCCCGTCCATCTCATCAGAAAACGGTTGCATGCATTCAGATTCGTGAGGCTTCAGTCGGGGCGCTAGCTCTTTTTGCAAGAAATGCACTGCCCAAGGCACGAGACCTGTCCAGGCAAGAGAAGAGCACAAAGTGTAAAAGGGATCATGCAAGTGCTGGCCCATATGGCTATCTGCTAATTACTGCCCAAGATCGCTCTGAAAACAGCTGAGATTTAAGGGGCTGGATTTTCAAGCCGAGCTGAAGAAACAGATGCGTTCAGGATTCAATACTTTGGTTTCTCAGAAGAAAGAACTCAACAGGAATGGGTCACACCTGAAGACAAATCGATATCTTGCGTTTGCATCTCCTGTGACAGCAGCTGCCGCAAGATGCTGAAGAAAGGAACTGCTGGGCGGCGTTATGCTGCCAAGAAGATTGTGATACCCACCAGATCAGTTGAATGTAAAGACCCTGGACGACTCCGGCACCAAAACGCCGCTTCCTAGACAAATGTAACTATAATGTAACTATAATGTAACTATAATGTAACTATATATAATGTAACTATAATGTAACTATAATGTAACTGTTCCTTTCTAGAAATGCCTGTCGAGGGGAGTCTAGCCTGCAGCTGGAGCACGCACAGGGCCAGAGACCAGCGAGGTTGGAGCCACCGTGTACGCATCCTGGTCCTCCTGCGGCCGCGCTTCTCCTACGGAACTCAGATCCGCGGCCAGTCGGAGATCCTTCGGATCTACTTGTAGAGTTCCTCCATCAGCCTTCTCACACATAACCTTGCCGGTGTTGATGTCCTTGTCCACGAAACTGCGAAAGCAAAGCCGGCAGGGCATCGCAGAGTCCCATGTCTCGTCGGTCTTTACGAGGACCTTGTACCGGTACTTGCCGCGCAGCAGCCGCAGCAGATCGTCGCTGTAGCTGATGGGATGCAAGTCTCGCCTGGACACTTCACAGATGCGGCGCTTCTCTTTGCCCAGCGGAGCCACGCAGACCATACCCGGCCCGGGCCTGCGAGTTCCATTGCAATCATTTGGGGGCAGCATGGTGACCAGCTTGCCATAAATCTCCGGCTGCCCCGGTCCCACCAGATGTTCCGTCAGGTGGCACTCGAAAATCTGGCCTGGCAGGAAGTCGCCGGTAATTTCGGCCCTCTTCCAGTCCGTCTCCGTGCCGGCATTCTGAACTTGTATCAGGTGTCGGGAAACCAACTCTGCGAGACCCGTGAAATGCCGCTCCTTCCCTCGCAGCCGCAGGGAAGCACCAGTAAAGACCTGCTTCAACACCTTCAAGTCCCTTGGATCCTTCAAGAGCTTGCCAATGTCAACGTCCGTCGCCTCCTCGCGGTTCTCACCAGCCTCGGTGTCAAGGAAAAGCGACAAGTGAAGTTCCATCACTGTGCCTTCGTGCACGTCCGGCATGGTCAGATGGTTCCGACGCGAATCCACACCGTTCTCTCTCCAGAGGCTGACACCAAAAACCTGCAAATAGATCTGAGCGTAAACCCAGCGCCGGAGACCCAGTGCCCGGCCAGTGCCTCTTAGCCAAATGCGACTCTGGAATACTAATGGTTCCTCTTGGGCTTGGGGATGCCTGTTCAAGTGCTTCACGACTACGTAGCCAAGTGTGTCGTTGCCGTCGGTCGGCACTTCATGGTCAGCGGGGTCGTGGAAGTCATGCTTCTTCACCGCAGTGTGTCGAATCCAGTACAGCTCTTGGTCTCTCTTTGCCCAGTCAAGCAGAACGGCTGGGCAGTTTTTTTGGGGCACGCCTTCACGGAACTCGACCCTGGCTGGGCCGCGAGTCAGCAAGTTTCGGTTCTTCTGATTCGGAAGTTTCGGCTTTGCATGGGTCTCAACAGCTGCTGGTGTGTCTTGAACGGTTGGGAGTTGGCTCCGCCTCCTCCCAGACTGCTTCTGGCGCTCCTTTCTTTGCAGCGTCGCAGATCCTGTCTGCATAGTTGCCGACATTGCAGGCTCTGCTTGGTGGTCAGCTGCTATTGCCTCTGCGGAACAGGACCCAGATCCCATAAACGCAAACGCAGCTACAGGCACGGTGGGGACGAATCCGATGTATGGTGCAGGTGCCAGCATAGGCTGTGGATGCCAGGCAGCGGGAAAAGTGCACTGCGCTTGCGCAAAAGGAGTCGTCTCCCTGTCCACTGCCGTTTCGAGCTGCGGACCCTCATCCCGAGGCTGCAAATGTTGCAAGGGCAGGCCGTGGCTGCTTTGCGACATGCCCAAGTCACAACCTGCACGAGGAAGCTATGTCTCAAGATGCGTGCTCAGAGATCCGCGGGAGGCACAGTAGAGTGGGTTCGAGCTGCTGAAACACGTGAGGACATGACGAAGCGAAACGCCGAGACCGCGGCTTGGTAGTCAATGTCGTCCCTCCCACCTCTGTCGAGTAAGTTACAACCCTGAAGCCCTCTGACTACATGATTCTGAGCTGCAAATTGGGAGCGTCCAGTCCTGCCCTCAAAATGGTCTGTTTTTCTATGCACAGAGCCGCGTGCATGCATGCAAAGGAAGAGCGGAGCCTCC